AAAAAAAAAAAAAAAAAAAAAAGACAGAGTCTTTCTCTGTCACCCAAGCTAGAGTGCAGTGGCACAGTCACAGCTCAGCTTTGAACTACTGTGCTCAAATTATCCTCCTGCCTCAGCCTCCTGAGCGACTGTTACAAGTTACAATATTTCTAAAGACTTCAGTTTTTTTTGTTGTTGTTCTTTGTTCTTTTTAAACAAAACAAACAGTATTTCACTGTGCTGCCTGGATGGACTCAAACTCCTGGGCTCAAGCCATCCTCCCAAGCAGCTGTAACTCAAACTCCTGGGCTCAAGTCTCAGCCTCCCAAGCAGCTGTGATGACAGTTGCATGCCACCATACCCAGTTAGATTGCAGAGATTTAAAGACCAATGGAAGTAAAAGAAAACCAAGTTTAACTTTCTTTTTAAAAATGTAACACATACGTTGGATGCTGCATCATCCTCCTCCTTTGAACTTCCATCCTCTGCATCACTTCATGAGGATGCAGTCTCTGTGCTGGAGGTGCTGTGGCTGGAATATGGTGCGAAATTGGCTGGTGTGTAGGAGGAAGATGCTGAGGGATTGGTGCAGCTGTACTGGCTAAGTGAGTTGGTGGTGGGGGTGCCACAGGATGAGATGTTGCATGAGAAGATATTTGAGAATGGAAAGCATGTACAGGATGAGGAATAACATAATCCACTTGAGGTGGAGGCTGAGTCTGAGGAGGGGGATTTCCATGAGAATGAGGGCAGGCAGAAGCCTGATGATGAAGTGGCCTTGTTAAAGAGGCATCTGCAAGAAAAACATTTCAAGTATGTTACATAGGCACCATGCAGTTGAACATATACTGCTATTATATATTCCTATTGTACTTTTAAAGATTCTAGCACATATTTTATTTTTATGAATACCTTATCAAGTGAAGTATTAATGAAACTGTTCAAGCAACTTGCTCTCTTCTTAGAATAATCTTCCTAGGTCAACATATATTACACTATTATATATATTAACTTCAGTATTAAATATATTAATTTCACTCACAGCTTCACAACATTCTATTATATGAATATATGAAAATGTATTCACAAAATCCCCACTGATAAAAAACTCAAATGCTGTGATACATATTTGTGTACGTGGTCCCTCCTGCACTCAGTCTTTCATTTACACACATGTATATACACATACATACAGATCATTTCTGTAGCATAAATTCCTGTAAGCAGTTGTGGGAAAGAAAAAAGTAAATTTAGATGCCAGTTGATACAAAATACCCTTTCCAAAAGGTTGCCATAATTAACATTTTGATCAAGAATTCACAGAAAGGGCTGGGCATGGTGGCTCACACCTGTAATCCCAGCACTTTGGGATGCCAAGGCAGGCTGAATCACCTGAGGCCAGGAGTTCGAGACTCGTCACGCCAATATGGCAAAACTCGTCTCTACTAAAACAAAAAAAATTAGCCAGGCGTGACCACAGGTGCCTGTAATCCCAGCTACTCGGGAAGCTGAGGCAGGAGAATCGCCTGAGCCTGGGAGGCAGAGGTTGCAGTGAGCTGAGATTGAGCCACTGCATCCCAGCCTGGGCGACAGAGTGAGTCTCTATCTCAAAAAAATACAAAAAAGAGTACATACGAAGGCCTGATTACCCCTACACTACCACTATTTTTTTTTTAAATAAATGTTAATCTGAGAAAAATCTTTCATTTCTTGACCACTTATATTTCTATTCAGAATTATCTATTTACATGCTTAGCCTATTCACCCTTTTCTTATTGACTTACAAGTATTCTTTGCATATATGGAATTTCTGTCATAATAGGGTGTAAACATTTTTCCAAACTGTCTTTCTCTCCCTACCCCATGTCATTTTTCCTGTACTACCTCATGATGAAGGAGGCATACTTGTTTCCCAACAAATATGGAAGTCTCTAATAAGATGGCTCCCCCCATTTTTTCATTCTACATCTTTATGTTTCAAAGTTACTGCTGAAAAAAGTAATACACATCTTTCTTATTCTTAGAGATCTGCATCTACTTGCCAAGTAAAAAAGAAAAGTTTGTCTCCTTAGATTTCAATTCAAATTTCATTTTATTAGAATATGTTCTTGGAAGTCTGATAGAGAGCAACAGCCATTCTCTAGTTTAATTACAGAAGAGTTTTCTTCAATTTTTTTTTTTTGAGACAGAGTCTTGCTCTTGTTACCCAGGCTGGAGTGCAATGGCGCGATCTCGGCTCACCGCAACCTCCGCCTCTTGGGTTCAGGCAATTCTCCTGCCTCAGCCTCCTGAGTAGCTGGGATTACAGGCACGTGCCACCATGCCCAGCTAATTTTTTGTATTTTTAGTAGAGACGGGGTTTCACCATGTTAACCAGGATGGTCTCGATCTCTTGACCTCGTGATCCACCCGCCTCGGCCTCCCAAAGTGCTGGGATTACAGGCTTGAGCCACCGCGCCCGGCCCAATGTTTAATGCTTTTGATTCATTCAGCAAGGGCAGAAGTTAGGTATCCATAACACAACCGTATTTTCAAAGTATGCCTTGTTAACATAAAGGACCAACCTTCAACAAATGTAATTTTTAAAAGTTGCAAGACAAATTTTTAAACCAATTTTCTAAAAGTCCTATTTTCAAATCAATGCTTTACTCTTCAAGAAGGCATAAAGCTCAGTAGCTCTTAATCATAAAAAATGAATCTACTATGTTTTATGATAGTCAACTATCCTTTCTCAAATTCACAGCATTTCTTTCTTTCTTTCTTTTTTTGAGATGGAGTCCTGCTCTGTCACCCAGGTTAAAGTGCAGTGGCGCAATCTCAGCTCACTGCAACCTCCGCCTCCCGGGTTCTCTTGCCTCAGCCTCTTGAGTAGCTTGGATTTATAGGTGCCTGACACCATGCCCAGCTAATTTTTGTATTTTTAGTAGACATGGGGTTTTACCATCTTGGCCAGGCTGGTCTGGAACTCCTGACCTTGTGATCCACCCACCTTGGCCTCCCAAAGTGCTGGGATTACAGGAGTGAGCCACTGCACCCAGCCCACAGCATTTTTTCTAGTTTCAAAGTTTTATACTTGTGTAGTCATTATGCAAGACAATATTCACAAATATTACAAAACAAGAAGTTTTGTTTTGGAATAAGTCCATTTATTCAACTACTCTTCAGACATCATTTGAATTCAATGTTTATCTAAACAAAACAGGTTGCTCACCATAATAAAAGAGTGACATATTCTACATTCCCCAAAACCCTTTCCCTTTCCCTCACATTTGTGTTCTTAACAGTTTTTTAAAAATGTTTTTGATATTGCTTCCTAGATGTACAATCTATCACTTGCAGATGCAATATTATGATTTGTTCCAACATTTACTCTCTATATTCCTATAGCTCTACCGGGTAGACCATTCACTTCATGATTAATCGTAAGTAGCCTAACCACATATCTCTCTTTTTTTCTTTTTTTAAAGAAACAGGTTCTCACTATGTTGTCCAGGCTGGAGTACAAGGATTATTCACAGGTGTGTTAACGGCACACCACCACCTTGAACTCCTGGGCTCCAGCAATCCCCCCTGCCTCAGCCTCCTGAGTAGCTGGAACTACAGGCTTACACTACCAAGCTAGGCCTTACATATCTTATCCGTGCATCTTATTAATCAGATAGCAAAACTTTTAAATGACACCATTTCAAGCACAGTTGTTTTATCACTTCAACAAGACCAAAAAGTTTTCAAAAGCAAGGAGACATTCTTACTGCACAAGTATTGTTGTTATACATGTAAATGTACTTACGAAACGGTAAACTATTCATTTGGGTCCAAGTATCACAATGTATAGCCAATAGGAATTATTCCCATTTTATAAGAGCAAAGAATGTAAGGAGAGAGATTAAGTAAGTTATCCAAAGTCACTAAGCTGATTAGTCAGAGCTGGGAGGTTAACTCAAATCTATTCTATTCAATTCAAAGCTGGTGCTTTACTACACCATACTGTCTTCCCCAGTTCATTCCGGATGAAGAAAGGTTTAAGAACCACGTTTCACAAGTGAACTAACGGATACCAGAAATGTTTTTTAAAAGCATACGAGAGTTAGGGAAATAATATACACAATCCTTTAGGAAAAGAAGCCCAAAAGAGAGTTATCAAAATGTCTCTAACAGAACATAATACAATTTAAATTTCCTACCTTCATTCTCATTAATACTCATTAAACACCCCGAATGAGGTGTATAAATTGATACAGCCCCTTGGAGAGAAATTTAACAGTATTTACCTGAAAGTTTATCCCTCTGACATAGCAATCTTACTTCTAGGAAGTTATTCTATACATAAACTCAACCACAGACAACTTAAATGTCCATCAACGGAAGATTGATTTAATATACTATGGATATTATGGGGGTATTAAAAACCAATGAGCTTGGCTTTTATATGCTAATATGCAAAAATCAAGATATACTGCTAAATTTAAAAACAAAAAGCAAGGGGTATATGTTTGATTTCCCATTTTGAAAAGGGAAGACATATATATACCTATCTATGTGTATGAAGAAAATTTCTAAAAGTTTTTATATCACAGTTGCTGCCTCTGATATATTAAGCAGAGTAAGCTGTGGGAAAAAGCTTTTAAATTCTCATTTTATATCACTCTGCACAGTCTGAATGTTTTAGAATTTAACAAATGAGTCTAAAACATTTATTTATTAGAACATTTTAAAAGGAATGAACTTACTTGTAAACTGCTTCAGTATATTATTTTTAGGAGGAGGGGCAGAAAACTACATATATTGAATTTCAAATAAAAGATGATCAATTAAAAATGAATACCAACAAGTATCACAAAATAGGCCATGCATAATATTGGTGTTCATACACAGAACTGGCCCACTTGTCAATGCTTTGTAAAAAGTGTTTCTAAATCTATTTTCCAATTTATACTCTAAATTTTAAGTTGCATTACTGAGAAGGTAAACAATATATTCCAGTTTCACTGTACAAATTCTGGGTTGATTCCAGCTGTGTCTGTAGAATGCAGATTTTTAAATGATTGGAGAAGAAAAAAAATCCAAGAAGACACATAACTGAAAATTCCCCTGCCAGGTGATCAGGACAAAACACAAATTTCCTTGCTGACTTCCTACTTTATTTCAGGCATGAACTTTTGGTATTTCTTAGTCGTTTATTAAGCTCCATTTGATTATTAGCTTATGATCTAACAAAACAGTAACTACATTACATATCCTTAGGGTATTTATTAGTTCTTATGATATCTAACAAATTTCAATTTCTGTAGAAAAGGCATGCCTAGTTCTATTTTATTTTATTTTTATAGAAACGGGGTCTCACTATGTTGCCCAGGCTGGTCTCAAACTCCTGGCCTCAAGCAATGCTCCTGCCTTGGCCTCCCAAAGTGCTGGGGTTACAGAGTGAGCCAGCATGCCCAACCATGGTTTTATTTTAACTGCCTGCATCAAATGAGTATTAAAAACCCTTTTGTAACTGACAAAGCTTGCAGTCAGGAAATTCTCTCTTATGTCTCAGTTAACTGCTTGAGAATTCTTAGAATTTACTTTACTGTGCCTAGAAATACTACTCAACTTTCACATTTCTTCAGTTGTCCTAAAGAAGAAATCTCAATTCCTTAAAACTTCCATTCAATATACCTGTTTCATAGTATTACAATGGGAAAAATATACTCCACACTTAAGCCAAGTAAATACTAAAAATTTAACAACTGGGATTAATTAAAGGTTATTTCATGAAGGAGTATAAAATGCTTCACTGATATGACTCTAGATTTTGTGCCCATTAAGTTTATACTTACAAGGGGGTGGCATGTAATGCCGACATGATGAGAGAGAGGGCTGTGGAGGGGGCTGGGGCTGGGGCTGTGCAACCATGCTTGATCCATAGCCATCTATTGATGATAATGGTTGACTTGGGGCAGCAGCAGCAGCCTGATGGCCAAAGATGGCAGCTCGGGAAGAGGAAACAGGGCAGCAGGGATCAAATGCAGATGCTCCATGAAAACCGCCACTTCCATGACTTCTGATACCATTGTTGCTCAGGTCTACTGGCAATGCCTGCTATATAAAAAGGAACTATATTTTATCTTTCTAAAGTTTGGTCAAACATTTCATGCTATATTATAAAAGTATTCCTAACACAACCAAGAAAAACATAATATTTTAATTTGAAAACAGTAAGATTCCTAGTGTGAAGAACTAGTGAGCACCAACAAAATACCTGGTTATCTTGTGTATCTTGGATTGTGAAAACTGTAGTGGTTTTACACTTAAAACCAATTTTTAAAAATCAAGCATAAGATTATATCACAAGATGAATAAGTGTGGTATATTAAAGTTTTTTGTCTTATAACATCTACATCTTAGAAACTTTAATATCATACTTCTATATTCTCCTTTATCCCAACATTGTGACTACTAATTTAGGACTCCTTTAGAAAACATACGATCGCACTAGTGAAAACATTAAGGTTCTAGGAAAAATCTTGTCTGCCCCAAGTTCCAAACTGTATGAAGAAGCAAGAATTTAACTAAAATTCTAATAGTGTAAACAAATCTACATTACTCAAAATAACAAAGGACTAAGATTTTTCACACTAAATCATGAATTACCTTTGCCACTTAAAGCTTTCATTTGTTCAAAAAAATAAGAATAAAAAAATTAAACCACTGCTTCCTTTGACAGGCATATTTATTGCACTTTGCTTTATTATGCTTTACAGATGTTCGGGGTTTTGTTTTGTTTTGTTTTGAACAAACTGAAGGTTTGTCAAGCAAGTCTATCAGGGTTATTTTTCCAACAGCATGTGCTTACTCTGTGTCTGTCAAATTTTGGTAATTCTTACAGTATTTAAATTTTTCTCATTATTATTTTATCTATTATGGTGATATTTGATCAGCAGTCATTAGAGTTACTACTACAATTGCTTTGGGCACCAAAAACTGTGCACATATAAGGCAACAAATTTATTAAACGTGTGTGTCCTTAACAGATGTTCCCGACATCCTCGACTCATCTCTGTGGGCTTCCCTATGTCCTGAGACACAACATTGAATAGGCCAATTAATGGCCTTTAAGTATTCAAGTTAAAGGAAGATTTGCACATCTCTCATTTAAAATCAAAACCGATAAATGATTCAGCTTAGTGAGGAAGACATGTCAAAAGCCCAAAAAGGCTAAAACTATGTTATATTGGGGTTCAGGGGTGCCCTCAGCTCCCCTGAGACGACATTTCTCCAGGTTCTTGGTCTCCTGCTCTCTTAAGAATGAGAGAGGGGACCACGGTGCAGTGCGCAGTAAATACGAGACTCAAAAGTGTTTGTAGAAAGTGATTTATTTAAAGAGAGAGAAACAGAAGGAGAGAGAAAGAAACAGCTAACTCTCACACCGAGTGAGAGAATCCAGGATGATGGAATCCAGGAGAGGAAAGCAGCTTCCACACTGAGTGGAAGGCAATAGAGAGATGTCGTTCAGGAGGAGAAGACAGGCTTCCACCACAGAGTGTGGAAGAGGACTCCAGATGGGAAATCCAAGAGAAAGACAGCTTCCACGAAGGCAGTGTTCATGGAAGGGGACCCAAACATGGAGTCCAAAGGGGTGTGGAAGAAGGGGACTTTTAACCTGGGAGGAACCCCCACCTTCTCTAAGACCCCAGGCCAATAAAAGGAGTTCCCTAGAACTTCTACTGGAATGACTGACTCTTTGTTTCTTCCTGTACCTGTGAAATTTAAACATAAACTGTTAAATCTCCCAAATGGAGAGAGATGGGAAGGGGGCATAGTGCTAGGAAGTTCTTACCCTTAAAACTACGTCCCCTTGTGGACCCAGAAAGAGAACACCTTCCCTAACTGGCCTCTTATACCAGTTAGGCAAGTCGTGAATACAAAGTAAAAATTTCTCAAAGAACCTGAAAGTACTCCAGTGAACACACAAATGATAAGAAAGTGAAACAGCCTTAGAGCTGATCTAAAGAAAGTTTTAGTGGTCTAGATGGAAGATCAAACCAGCTACAACATTCTCTTAAGCCAAAGCCTAAGCTAGAACAGGGCCCTAATTGTCTTCAATTCTATGAAGGCTGAGGGAGGCAAGGAGGCTGCAGAAGAAAAGTCTGAAGATAGCAGGGGTTAGCTCACGAAATTGAAGGAAAGAAACTATCTCTATAAAAGCGCAAGGTAAAGCAGCAAGTGCTGATGTAAAAGCTGCAGTAAGTTATCCAAAAGATCTAGCTAAGATCATTTATGGAAAGTGCTACAGTGAATAACAGATTTTCCATGTAGACAAAACAGTCTAATATTGGAAGATGTCATCCAGGACTTTCATAGCTAAAGAGAAGTCAATGCTTGGCATCAAAGTTTCAAAGGACTGGATGATTCCTGTTAGGGTCTAATGTAGCTGGTGACTTAAAGTTCAATGCTCATTTACAATTCCAAAATCCCTGGAGCCCATAAAAGTTATGCTGAATCTATTCTGCCTGTGCTCTATTAACAAACAAAAGCCTAGATTGACAATATATCTGTTTACATGGTTTACTGAGTATTTTAAGAATACTGTTGAGACCCACTACTAAGAAAAAATGATTCCTTTTAAAATATTAATGCTTAGCAAAGTGAGACCTTGTCTCAAAAAAGAAAATTGCTGTTTTTTGACAATGCACAGTCATCCAAGAGCTCTGATGATGTGTAAGGAGATTAATGTTTTCATACCTGCTAACGCAGCATCCAGTCTGCAGACTATGGATCGAGGAGTAAAGTCTTATTACTTAAGAAATAAGTAAGGCTTATATTCATAAGGCTACAGCTGCCATAGTAATTCCTCTGATCAATCTGGGCAAAAATAAATTGAAAATCTACCAGAAAGGTGTCATCACTCTAAATGTCATTAAGAACATTTGTGGTTTATGGAAGGCAGTCAAAAATACCAACACTAATAATTTGGAAAAAGTAGATCCCAACCCTCATGCATACTTTGAGGGGTGCAAGACCTCAGTGGATGAAGTAACTACAGATGTTGTGAAGACAGCAAGAGAACTAGAATAAGAAGTTGGACCCTGAAGATATGATTGAATGACTGCAACTCATGATGAAAGTTGAGTGAGTTAATTCTTACGGAGAGGCAAAGAAAGTGGTTTCTTTATGCCCTTTATTTATCTTTTTTGAGACAATGTCTCACTCTATTGTCCAGGCTGGTGTGCAGTGGCACAATCTCAGCTCACTGCAACCTCCACCTCCCAAGTTCAGGTGATTCTCTTGCCTCAGCCTTGCAAGCAGCTGTTTACAGGCACATGCCACCATGCCCAATTAATTTTTGTGTTTTCAGTAAAGACAAGGTTTCACCATGTTGGCCAGGCTGGTCTAGAGCTGCTGACCTCAAATGGTCCACCTGCCTTGGCATCCCAGAGTGCTGGGATTGATTACGGAGGTGAGCCACTGACCCAGCCTCATTCATTCATTCCTTCCTTTCAGACAAGGTCTCACAGTGTTGCCTACGATGGAGTGCAGTGTTATAAACACAGGTCACTGCAGCCTCGACCCACCTGGCTCAAGCAATCCAAGTAACTGGGACCACAGGTGTGTGCTATTGCACCCAGCTAATTTTTAAATTTTTTGTAGAGACAGGGTAGACATGTTGCCCAGGCTAGGCTTTAACTCCTGGACTCAGGCAATCCTCCCACCTCAGCCCCTGAAAGTGCTGGGAGCAAAGGCATGAACCAACATGCCCAGCCAGAAGTGTTTTTTTTTTTTTTTTAAATAAAAGCATAGCAGAGCCCCAGAGACAAGTGTTTTTTGTTGTTGTTGTTTTCATTTAAAAAAAAAAAAAAATGCAGCAGAAGTAATGTCCTGAGATGAAATCTACTCCTGTTAAAGATGCTGGGAACAAGATGAAAATGACAACAAAAGATTTAGACTATCATATAAACTTAGTATATTACATTACTATATTATATAAACTTAAAGCAGCTGCAGAGTTTGAAAGGACTGACTCCAGTTCTGAAAGAAGTTCTATGGGTAAAATGCTATTAAACAGCATCATGTGCTACAGAGAAATCATTCATGAAAGGAAGAGTCGATCAATGCAGCAAACTCCATTGTTGTCTTACTTGAAGAAACTGACACAGCCACCCCAATCTTTAAGCACCACCACTCTCAGTGGTCATAGCCATCAACATTAAGGCAAGACCTTTCATCAGCAAAAGGATTACAACTTGCTGAAGGCTCAGAGGACTGCTGGCATTTTTAAAAGATGTATTAACAATAAAGTACTTTTAAAATGAAGTATTTTTAAATTGAACCATGTACATTTTTTTAGACATAACACCACTGCGGACCTAGTATAGTACAGTGCAAACATTAACTTTTATATGTACTGGGGAAACTAAAAAATTCATATGACTTGCTTTATTGCAATATTCACTTTATTGTATTTATTGTGGTTGTCTGGAACCAAACCTGCAGTATCTTCAAGGTATGCTTGTATTAGGAATATGATTTTAGGGAAAGCCCATTAACTAAGTTGGGAAATAAACCAGAGGCTACATTCCATTTTCACTCATCAGTAATATTTCCTCCAAATGCTTTTTTTTTTTTTTTTTTTTTTTTTTGAGACAGGTTATCTGGCACCCAGGGTGGAGCGCAGTGGTACAATCTTGCCTCACTGCAACCTCCACCTCCTGGGATCAAGTGATTCTCCTCTCCTGCCTCAGCATCCCCAAGAAGCTAGGACTACAGGCACAAGACACCCCACGCAGCTAATTGTTTTTTTGTTTCATTTTGTTAGAGATGGGGTTTCACCATGTTGCACTGGGTGGTCTTGAACTCCTGAGGTCAAGCGATCCACCTATCTCAGCCTCCCAAAGTGCTAGGATTACAGGTGAAAGCCAGTGCACACTGCCTTCCAAAAGCATCTGGAAAAATCCTAAGTAAAACACTTTCAACCTTCTACTCTAGACCAGATTACAAAGCAAGAACTGCTTCTTTGTATACTTAAATCCAAGCCTACTGCTTAGGTTCGGTGGAGTCATACTTTTCAAAACGTGATTAAAGATCACAGAGATCTGATGTTATATACGGAACGATATACAGGAACTGTTCAATACTGGAAGCTGAGTGGCTGGAGATGAAAAAACCTAGGTCCTAGGTAACGCATTTGTGAAAGGCCCAAGTTACCCAGCAGTCCTCAGAGGAACCACAGCAGTCTTTTTACTTTCAGTGAGCTCTAGGTTCAGGGGAATAATAGAAACAAAAGGAACTCTGGGTGCTGAAAGGAAAGGCAAGTGATGATACAGAAGATGGGAAGGAGAAAAGGAAGAGCTCCTTTTTTCTGTTATTATTTATGTACAATCAAGTGTATGTCTTGTCCCCTTCTGTTGAGTTGGCAAATACAACTTCTGTCCTCAATTCAGGTAAATGAGGTTTAAGAATAATGTTGTAAGACTGAATTCATGTTTATGGTTCAAATCCTCTCCCTACTGTTTAGACCAAAATTAGCAAATGGACTAGAATATCAACATCTTGTGAAGGTGACCAAATTTCATCTTATCTTCATTCCTAGAAGAAAGTGAGGGTAAAATTAAAGAATAAAGGGAAAAAACAATAATGACAACCCTTTTCTTCACAATTCTAACAGTTCATTCAATTCTTATTCTCGAAAGACAATCAAGGGTAAGCAAGATGAGTATAGTGATGGGATATAATAATTGCTTTACATAGATCATAAATGACGCATCACACTAATTAAACTACTGGGGACTTATGGTACATGCCTGTAGTCCCAGATAATTGGAAGTCTGAGGCAGGAGGATTATTTGAGCCCTGGAGTTTAAGGCCAGCCTTAGTAACAAAGCAAGATCCTCTCTCTTAAAAAAAAAAAAAAAAAAAAAAAAAAAAAGGTGGGAGGTGGGGTGGGGTGGAGTTGGAGGATGGAGGGTACTGTGTTAGGGGTAGGTAGGGATGAAAGCCATATCATATCAAAGCAAGCAGTGAGGACTATCTATATGACTACTGCATCTTCTTGGTTTGCTTATCTAATTTTTCTTTGACTATGCACAGTCTGGCGCTCAATCATAAGACATCTACACAATCACAAATCTCAGGTTTTGCTTGCTACTTCTGTTCCTCTACTTTCTGCTGTGCCCAAACAGGTCTGAAGTGAAGACTATATGGTTATATTATGAGCATGTAGTTAAGTTTAGAGTCCTAGAAACAACAGTATGAGTCTCAAACTGTTGTCTTCAAAATCTCACTCTCTTTACCATTCCAACCCAGTATCACCACTGAATGCCTGGGATCCTGCTGATTCTTCTCAGGTTTTGTTTGCAGTCCAAATATTTCTATTGACACTTATAGGTGGGTAAATGGGTTATACTTATTTTACACTGAACAGAACTGTAAAAGAGATCCTACCTATAATTAACTCAAGGTGAAAGAAAACATTATATACATAGTTGATCTCTCAAATCAGCTGTGTTATTTTATTAATAATAAAATATTCTGCAAATGAGACTTTTGGCAGCTCTTTAATGAATGTAGGAAAAGCTGGTAGACCCACCTCTTCACCATTTTCCTACAATACTTACGAAGAGTCATTTAACCAAATTTATAGCAAAAGAACAATATACTTTCAAGCAGGTCCTTTCACTGGAAAATTTTTCTTGATGTTCCTTCATTCCCCAGAAGCAGGACAGGTCTGGACAATCCGTTAATACCAAGAAACATCACCAAAACCAAAATAATATCTAAAATCTCTTTAATCACATTTTCTACTCAATTCAAATTTCCTCTTAATAGCAGCTGCATTTTTAAAAAAGAATACCTCTCTTTCTTAATTATTTTTAATCTGTCAAGATGCAGAAGACACACCATCAAAATTTTTAAAGACTAGACAAGTACTTTAGGAAAAATCAGGTGACAACAAAAAAGCACTACCTTGGCCAGGCACAGTGGTTTATGCCTGTATTCCCAGGCAACAAGAGTGAGACTCTGTCTCAAAACAAAAAGAAAAAAAAGAAAACTTCAGAGTCTTTTTCTTGTTGCCCAGGTTGGAGTGCAGTGAGGCAATCTCAGCTCACTGCAACCCCTGCCTCTCAGGTTAAAGCAATTTTCCAGCCTCAGCCTCCTGAGTAGCTGGGACTACAGGCACGTGCCACCACACCTGGTTAATTTCTGTATTTTTAGTAGAGACAGGGTTTCACCATGTTGGCCAGGCTGATACCAAATACCTGACCTCAAGGGATCCCACTCCCTCTGCCTCCCAAAGTGCTGGGATTACAGGTGTGAGCCCCCATGCCAGCCTCTTTGACTTTTTTTGCAGCACGTTTTTTCTGGCATATTATATGTCAAAGTTACAATTTTTCTCTGAAACTACATCTTTTGGTTTTTAAAGTATGCAACACCCAGGTTTATATCACAGTCATATATGGAAGTGACATAACAAAAGTTAAAGTAGCATGAAACACTAGACTTTTTTACTCTGTGATCGCCAATACTAATGTAATATTATTTGACATTTCGTGAACTCATTAATAATACCAAGTAATCTACTTAATCACAATTTTTTTGCTGACATTTCAATTCTCCATAAACTGAAAGCCTCATCTGTCCCTGAGAAAATATGCTACAGGTCTACATCTGAGAAGGCTGTTTATTTCTAAATGAGTGAGGTTACAGTGAACTCTAGAGAAGGAGGTAAAAGGGAAAAAAATGGGAGAAATTAGCCTGACACTAGAGTTTCACCAATTTGTTTAAAATAAGATCCCAAAGACCAGATTCAACTGTATTTAACTAAAAACATCAAAAATCATTCCAGAATTTTTAAAAAATGATTTTTACATTAAGTATCTGTTCTGATTTCCCACATCCATGGTCCCTTCAATTAGCTGTAATAATTTAGATCATCTGAAAATCCTGGAGACTTAATTAAAAAGAAATTACAGACCACTAAATTAGGCCATTTTTGAACGTAAGAATGTGACTAGTGTATATCATCTGTCCTTAGGGTTTTTTTTCCTCCTCCCAAAGCCACTACTATTAAAAAAGAAAGGTGGGATGGTTTTAACTCAAGTGGTTACTCCCTCATGCTGGGTATTCCAGACATCCAAAACAGAAGGGGAAAGGAAAGGAGAGAGGAAAGGGAGGGAAGGAAGGGCAAGAGGAAAGGGAAGAGAACAAAGAAAGGAGGGGAAGAGAGAGAGGAAAGGAAAGAAGAATGGTAGGGAGTAAAAAAAAGAAAGGGAAGGAGGGAGGGAGGAAAGCAGGAATGAGAAACGGAAGGAGGGAGAGAGACAGGAATGAAGGAAAAAGGAAGAGAGAGAAAATGAAAGAGACAAAGGAGGGATGCAGGAAAGAAAGACCGATTCAAATTCCACATACCTGTTCATGATAGCTGGTAACAGAACTACTATTTGCTCCACAAGGTGCTTGTACTTGTGGAGGTCTTTCCACAGGGCAAGCAGGATCACTAAAGGAAGGAGAAACTGGGACAGCTGGGTGGGAAGTATGATGGTGGTGGTGATGATGTTGAAAATGGTGACCATGCTGTTGAAAGCAATTTGTATGAGGATGTCCTAATGCATGGTGATTCTGTGACGACCCTCCACATGGTGAGTGCTGGGGACAGCAGGAAGGTAACCTTGGCATTGCAGGAGGGCCAGTTTCCGTTACAGCACTAGATGTAGTTCTCCTTGAGTCATCTTGAAACAGAAAAAAAAATGCAAAGAATAATCAAATTGTTAAGTATCACTGTGTAAAAAAATAGGTATGGGGTATAAATAATTAGGAAATGTTTAGTAAATTCAAATCTCTGTAAATAATATGATAGTGTCACTTTTTTTTTTTTTTTTTTTTTTGAGACAGAGTTTTCCGTCTTGTTGTCCGGGCTGGAATGCAATGACACAATCTTGACTCATCACAACCTTGGCTCCCAAGTTCAAGCAATTCTCCTGCCTCAGCCTCCCAAGTAGCTAGGATTACAGGCATGTACCACCACGCCTAGCTAATACTGTATTTTTAGTAGAGATGGGGTTTTCCATGTTGGTCAGGCTGGTCTTGAACTCCCAACCTCAGGTGATCTGCCTGCCTCAGCCTCCCAAAGTGCTGGGATTACAGGCGTGAGCCACCGTGCCCAGCCAATAGTGACACATTCTTAACATATACATTATATGATTTTATGCAGTAATCTTCACTGAGATTTTCCTGAAACTCTAAATTCTTCAGGAGGCTCATATTTACTGTGATCTGTAAGTATGGCAATTACTTGTGTCTTCCTAGGGCATAACAAATGATGTATTACCAATAAAATTGCATTTTAAAAGTTTTTAAATACCACGAGTCCTTCCACTACATGCTACAAATCAAGTGATCTTCCCCTGAGGTCCATAAACCCCTAAAATCATAAATCATTTCTATATAATGCAGACAGCAATGTAGTGCTTAAAATCCTACCTTCTTAAGACACAACCACCCAAGTCAGAGTAATAACTGGCTGAGTCTATCGGCCAACTTTTTTTTTTTTTTTTTTTTTAAACACACAGCCCCACCAATTATCAACTGGTAACTGAATCAACTGTCAACAATAATTGATAAATTAACAATTATATCAGCTAATTCAAAGTTTTTTTTTTTTTTTTAAAGACCAGGTCTCACTCTGTTGCCTTGGCTGGAGTGCAGTGGCTCAATCTTGGCTCACTGTGACCTCCACCTCCCGGGCTCAAAAGATTCTCTTGCCTCAGCCTCCCAAGTAGCTGGGACCACAGGCACACACCACCACACCCGGCTAAGTTTTGTGTTTTTTGTAGAGACAAAATTTTGCCACAGTGCCCAGGCTGGTCTCAATCTCCTTCCTGAGCTCAGGTGATCTGCCTGTCTCGGCCTCCCAAAGTGCTGGGATTACAAGTGTGACCCACCATATCTGGCCCAGTAACATTTTCCCTTCCTTTGGACTCTATAGTCAGAACCAATAAAATATAAGAAATGATCAGACTCTAATACCTGTAAAATAATATGTGCTTTATAATAATCTAATGACCTAGTGTCACATAGTGGGGAAAAAAGCATGGAGTCAAATGAATCCAGGTTCTAATGTGAGACCCTTCTTTTAGCAATGTGACCTCAGGAAAGTTATTTAACCTCCATTTCATCCATAAAATGTGGTAGTAAAATTGCCTTGCATGACTGTTTGAAAAAACGGTTTTCTAGGTATAAAACACATGAGTCCTGATTATGCTGTCTGCCACATGCCCAGAATTATTTTGAAGATATGTTCTTCCATGTGAGAAGAACTGCAAAAGTGACCCCTGAAAGTTTGTCCCAGTGTTTCAAACTCATTTAAAACCCAGAAACTTTTCCTTAAACTAAATATTATATGGAAATTCTATAAAAGAGATTTTTTTAAATGGAAGTTTCTGATTAAATTACAAAGGTGAAAAGCCTAAAGCCAAACCCTTGCCCAGCTGCCACCCTTAACCCCCTCACTCTGATTCTGAGGTATCTCATCAGAATCCTTAGAATTCTGGAACATTACTGTCCCAACCTTGATTTTAGAGTACCCAATAGTAGGGATATCCTGCTCCCATGTGGCTCAAAGTACCTAGCTCATCTCTTCTGGGCCAATGTATCAATTAGGAATCTTTTGCCTGTTTACAAATAATATAAAAACCCTCCAACTGCCCAAAAGTATTGAAAAAAAAAAAAAAAAAAAAAAAAAAAAAAAAAAAAAAAAAAAAAAAAAAAAAAAAAAAAAAAAAAAAAAAAAAGAATCAAACCAAAACAGCTTAAATAAAGGGAATTATGGGTTCACATAAATGAATCAGGGTAGGGGGGTGCTTCAGGCTCTGCTTAGTAAGATCCCAGCAAATTTCCCTATAATTCTCCTGGTTCTGCCCTCTCTTACATGTCCTATCCTGCCTTTCCTGATTCTCATCTCTTTTAGGTCTGTGTTCTAACCTCTGTCACACAGTAGCTCTAATCTATATTTCTGTATATCCAATTTTTCCAAGCTCCTAGTCTGGCCTATGGAGGCTAATCTCCCAAACCCTTTTGTAAATGTTCTTAACCTGGGGAACTAGAATTCAGGGTTCTGTGACCTTGGATGGAAGAAAAACACAAATTATCACTAACCTCTAACTGACCCTAGAATTAGTACTACTTTATCAGCATCAGTTGACATGTGAAATATTGTAATTTGTAATAAAAACAAAGTCAACAAATTGCTTACTTTTTAAAACAAATAATGGCAGTTTCAAAGTCAGTTCTATAATTATGTTACTTTCATTCACTTGCATTCCAAACTCTTGAATAACCTAGACAAAGTTAAAAGCATATCAGGAACTGACCACCATAGGGCTATGCTGAACCCAACATTAAGTAACTGTTTCCTATAAATTATAATATGTGTAACAAATTACTCATTATTTCAGTAGGTTTACTTGCTACAGCATTTTCAGGATTTTATCTTAGTCCCTATGTAAAAGTGTTATACAAGTCAATGTCATTTACTGTGTATTACATCAGGAAAAAAAGGTTGAAAACCTTTGGCACACTAAATTCCCTCACTGGGATACACTAAATGACCTTCATGGTTCCTTCCAATTCTGACAACTAATTTTACAAACCAAGTTATTTGAGGATTATATGAGACTCTAAAAGTCAGGATATGAGTTTGTAACCATCACTAAAGTGACAGATATGACATGTATCTGTTCAGAAATAGATTGTCTCCTTTTGCCTTTGAGGATTTTGAATATAAAAATCAGATTGAGAGAAGAGTAAGCATAATGACTATAATATATTTAAGGCTGAACACATACTTAAGGCATAAAATAATTAACAGTATGACTTCAAAAAGAACACTGATCTTATAGCTCTACTTCCTAGGCAACAGATTTGCCTTCCAGTTAAATAGTCTATTTTCCTATTGTCCAGAACCTCTTTTTTTCTCAAATAGGCTTGCATCCCCAAGTAAAGACAACCAATTAGCCTCTCATTCAAGAGTTACTACCTAAATAAAACTGCCATAAATTAGAGCTGAAATACAAAGATATCAGATTCAGTAAATAAAACACTTCCTTTTCTACGAAAATTAACCCACAGAGAGCCCAGTAAAAACGAAACAATCACGAACCTGCATCAAGGAAATTAACTCCACAGCCCAGTGACAATAATTTGGTTAAAGTCCCTCCTAGGAGTGCCTTCAGTAACTCTAGCAGGATTACTGAGATGCAGGCATGAATTTAATCATTCATTCAACAGGCTTACACGTAATAAAGGTGTGGTAAAAGATCTACAAAAGGCACTGGATGATACAAAGGTGAAAATTAACGTCCTGGCCTTTGACATAACTTACAGTATTATCTGCCTTTGCCGTTTTTATCTCTAGCAACCAGAAACACGCTTGCACAACGTAGGTGGCTCAGTAAGCACTTTCTAAATTTAAGTTAAATTCACAAGGGAAAAGAGGCATACACTCATGTAGCTAAGTGCCAAAAAGAGAAACACTTGCTCTTTGGCCCTTAAGCAGCTCATCATCAAGCATGGAGACAATTTAGGACACAAATCAACCAGTATTAGAACAGAAACACCAGTTTCTAGTATAGCATAAAGCAATGCTGTCCCCAAAATCTGGCAATGCCTGCAGACATTTTTGGTGCCACAATTGGAAGGGAGGTGGTGTTACTGGAATTTAGAGGCTAAGAAGCCAAGGATGCTGCTAAATATCCTATAATGCACAGCCCTTCCCTACCTCCCAAAGTACTATCTGGCCCAAAGTCAACAGTAGTGCCAAGATTGAGAAATCTTGGCATATTGGAGAAAAGTACAGGTGCCACACCAGACTGCCTAGGTTTGAATTCTTCTTCCACTACCATACAACCTTGGATGTGTTACTTCACCTGTAGAATAAGAGTAATAAAATCTGCCTCATTAGTTACTGCAAAAATCAGAGTTATGACAGGTAAATCCACTGGCCAACATTATCGGCTCAACAAATGTTATCTATTGTTATCCACTAGAATGTAAGCTCTGTTAGAACAAAAACTTATCTGTTTTGTTTCCACTGCCTGACATATAGTGTGCCATCAATAAATATTTGTTAAAAAAAAAAAAAAAAAAAAAAAAAAAAAAAAAAAAAAAAAAAAAAAAAAAAAAAAAAAAAAAAAAGACCAAAAAAAAAAAAAAAAAAGAATATATAAGCTACCATGTATGCATAATACAAGGACCACATGGAGAGGTCTGGCAGATAACGGGCTATTTCTGGCATACAGAGTTTGAACTGGGTGCAGACTGCTCCAGGACAGATGTCCAAGAGGCAACTGGACATGAAAGTCTAAAATGGCCATGCGTGGTGACACATGCTTGTAACCTCAGCCCTCTGGGAAGCAGAGGCGAGTGAATTGCTTGAGTCCAGGAGTTCAAGACCAGCCTAGGCAACACGGCAAAAATCTCTACAAAAAAGTACATAAATTGGCCAGGTGTGGTGGAGCATGCCTTTAGTCCCAGCTAGTTGGGGAACTGATGCAGGAGGACTGCTTGAGCCTGGGAAGTGGAGGCTGCAGTGAGACTGCACTCCAGCCTAGGTGACAAAGCAAGATCCTGTGTCGAAAAAAAAAAGTTTAAAACAAATAGGGTGGTCAAAAAACACAGAAGAGAGAGACATCATTATACTAGTGATAGATGACAACACCTGCAGTTAATGAAATGGGGTAGAGAGAAGGGGTATGAGAGCACAGTCCTGGGAAGAAAATCAATTATGAAAAGGAGACTATTGTCAGATTTTAAAAGATCGTGTTTATTCATTATGAAAGGAGTCAGAAGCCCATTAGAGGAAAGAGTTTAGTGTGACAGAAATACACTTAAAAGTACTTAGACCTAACACAAGTATACATGTGCATGTACTAAGGAAATGAAACCAGAGAAGATGCTGAAGATGCAGGGAAGTTCACTGCTAAAGCAAGGTTAGGACAAAGAAAAGGATAAGAGGTAGAGGACAGATAAAGGAAATGGAAGGGAGAGGAAGGAGTTAGGAGGCTAAGAATTAGCAGAGGAGGACAGGTAGAGACCCATAAAAGCTTTTAAGGTGTTGGAAGTTGCGGGAGTTCATGCTTAAGAATTTTCATTTATTTGTTTATTTATTTATTTAATTTTCTCCTGTGGAATGAAAACCTTGAGGAAAAGGAGAATGTTTTGAAATAGGGACTTAGAGGAAGTAAAGGTTGCTGATCGAGACACACTAATACTATGGTGATTTCCTACAGAAAGCCAACGATTAGAACCCATACGTTTATGGAGGGACTTGGGTAAGTGTGAAGCTAGATGGCTTGAATGTGAGGGTTGGAAATATGCAAAAAAGTAAAAGGTAAGGACAGGTTGTGGAGAAAACAGTTTAACTAATGTTCCATAGGGTCCTGGAAGAAAATGGACCTTAAGAGAGGCCCATTTAGGACTGTAGCCAAGATGCTCAGAAATTAAATCTGAGCTGTGAAAGAACAAAGATTTATATATAATTGCTTTTGGACTATTCTGAAATAAAGTTGGGATTGTATCACATAAAATCTACATAAGAATATGCTATGGATAGGCCAAGCGTGGTAGTTCACACCTATAATCCCAGCACTTTGGGAGGGTAAGGGAGGTGGATCGCTCGAGGCCAGGAGACAGGTCAGTGTGGGCAACATGGCAAAATTCCATCTCTACAAAAATACAGAAATTAGCCGGGCCTAGTGGTGCATGCCTGTGGTCCCCCAACTACTAGGGAGGATCAGGTTGAGCCCCGGAGGTGGAGATTGCAGTGAGCCAAGACTGCACGACTGCATACCAGCCTGGATGAGAGTCAGACCCTGTTTCAAAAAAGAAAAGAAATAATGCTACATAAACCTGTAACAGGAGACAGGAGTCAATGAGAAGTCAAATCCTTGCCTCAAAGATTATTACAATTTTGTTCAAAGTACTCAACTTCTCAGATTTCTTCATTTCTGAAATGGCAAGAGAAATGCCAACATCAAGAATTTTTTTATTTTTTGAAACAGGGTCTCGCTCTGTCACCTGGGCTGGAGCGCAGTGGTGCCAGTGAGGATTACTGCAGCCTTGACTCCTCAGGATCACATGATTCTACAGACTTGGTCTCCAAGTAGCTGGGACTACAGGTGTGTGTTACCATGCCTTACTAATTTCTACAATTTTCTGGGTTTTTTTTTTTTGGAGACATGCTCCATGGTCCAGACTGGAGTGCAATTGTGCTGTCCTGGCTCACTGCAACCTCCACCTCTCAGGTTCAAGAGATTCTCCTGCCTCAGCCTCCTGAGTAGCTGGGACTATAGGCACCCACCCCCATGCCCAGCTAATTTTTTGTATTTTTAGTAGAGACAGGGTTTCACCATGTTAGTCAGGATGGTCTCAATCTCCTCACCTAATCATCTGTCGGACTCAGCCTCCCAAAGTGTTGGGATTACAGATGTGAGACACCGTGCCTGGCCGTTTTT